CTGTTAAATGACTGAGGAAAATGAAACAAACCTAAACTAATAAAACCTAACCCGATACAGAAAATCAGAAACGTTCCTGTTAAATGACTGAGAAAAATGAAACAAATCTAAACTGAAGCCATTTAAATTCTCAACTTCTTGGAAGATATACATGAATGCAATCAAGATCTTCACATAATTGATTTTATTTCCATTTCTTTCTTAATTTCTGCTGGAGAACAACTTCTTTTAAAACATTGCTTGTGTTTTGGACCACACTCGCTCTCTTCTGCTCGCCTTTCGTAGATGTGCATATTTCTTCGCGAAGGACGTGTTTGAAACAATGACCGGTGCGTTATCTCTCTCGCTCCAACCAATTGTTCAGCAACCGAGTTTTCGGAGACGATCCGATTTTCTCACCGACGTAAATATAGCGCCAGAAGTACCAACATAAGAACACTTTAAGGTTACTTTACACTCCGCAGTGCACTAAATTAAATGACTATTTGGAGTTTTTCCTTTTTCCAGTGCTTATGCATTTTATATCAGGTTTATGTCCTCCATAGTCAATGTTTTAACCAATGCTTCCGACCTGTTTCTTTTTGGCTAAAATTTTGTAAGAGTGTGTTGCCCAACCTGGAATATTCTCATTCAGCTCACTCGTGGTACCGAGCAGCGTTTGTTGTGCTCCGCCCAATCGTACTATACCGTAATATACTATACCTTTCCGTATTTGAGGCGAAGCAATTATATCTTGTCCATGTTTAGAAGTTTCTGAAAATTTTGCGACCATGTTTATCGCACTCTTTTGTATGTGTTGAGCACTTTTAGGTTTTGTAGTTTAGAAATTTCCCACCCTCTGTTTTGTTTTTTTGAGCAGGCTGTGGCTCTGCCTGCTGCGCCCTCCTTAACATTCACTGTGGCAGCCGGCGGCGAGGGGAAGGGTTAGCGGGAGTCTTACCCTAGCAGACGACCGCTCATTCTTTTCAATGCCCCGTTCTTCCCCGCTCCTCTCTCTATCCCTGTCCCCTCCACTATCTCTCTCCCCACTCGCCTTTGCTCGCTCTCATGGGCAGATGTTTTCGCCGACATGCAATTGCAGCACCAACGGTTTTTTCTTTGATTCTCAGACTGAACCGTTGCGCATTGTTCGTCTGCTGTTCATCTGTTTTTTTCCCCTCTTTTATTTTCTTGTGTTTTTCCTAATTCTTTTTTTTTTCTCGCAACGCTCTGGTGCATACATCACAGCCCTTGCCAGAACCATTGTGTGGAGGACCCATGGCAGGACACCGACCGTCATGAACAAGCAGTCATAATTAATGGCAAAGCTTTATTGCGTTTACCATTACAATGAAAACTCTTTTTACCACCGTCTTACTCTTGTCGCTCTCTCTCTCTCTGTCTCTCTCTGTCTCTTTGTCTTTCTCTCTTCCTCCCTCTTTTTCCCTCTTCCTCTGCCACTCTCCTCTCTCACCCTTCCCTCTTTCCCTCTCTCCCTGTACTCATCTCATCTCCTCCACTCCTTTCCCACGGTATTTATTTTTTTGTCATTTTTCTTCCTCTTTCTTTAAAACCACGTCGTCACAAGCTTAGCCCGTCACACATACCCACCCACGCAAGCGCCGCACACACCCTCACACACTTGCGCCCTATATTATCCCCGCGTCCCTAGGAAATGAGAAAACAACATACAGATCAGTGATGGCGGTGGCGGCCCAGGCGAATAATATCTGCCCGTATTTCACACACAAACACACGCGCGCCCACACACTCTCACTCACGTGATTGTGTGCGTGTGTATACACACACTCGTGCACACACACGCACGCACAAATACACACATGCGTCAGCGCCAGGCGACACGCACTTTGCACGTGGAATTGCAATCGCAATTTTTCATACCGGCGTGGCGCTGGCTTGCGGGCCGAATGCGCTGCA